AAAAAAAAAAAAAAGAATCAATAAATGATATCTTGGGCCGACCCTATACAAAAAAGTCCAAAACAAAAATTGGGCCGGCAGCACAAATTATTTCCTCCCAACTCGAACCTATTGTGATCCGAGCCCAAAACACTGGACTTCTAGGGTTTAACAAGTTGTTGTTATATATAAATTCGAAAACGAGTGCCTTAAGCCGTCTTTCCCCCATTTTAGCCGCAGAGGGGATTCCGACGCAGAGAGAGAAGACAAATTTCATCGGGCTTCCACCATGAGAGCTAAGGTAAGCTTCGTGCTTTAACCATCATCTCTTTGATCTTCCGTTGATTTACAGTTGAATGATAGTGATTTTGTTGAAAACCGGATCTGGGTTTGTATCGTTTCCAGTGGAAGAAGAAGCGCATGAGGAGGTTGAAGAGGAAGCGCCGAAAGATGAGGCAGAGATCCAAGTAGTCTTCCCAGTTGTAGTAATAAATTCCGAGACTGTTTTTTCTGGCTTTTGTTAGTGTCTTGTTCAATCGGTTCACTACTCGTCGTTAAAGGCTTTGCCTATTGTTATTTTCTTTTCATGTTTTTTTGTTGCATTTTCCCGAACGATTTTGTTATCTAGTAATACCCATTGCGTTTCCATTGTGAATTTGTGTTGAGAATTGCATCTTTATGCTGCTTTTTCCTCAATCTATTCCTAACAATGGGTTTTAGTTTCTCAACACCTAAAAACTGGGTTGCGTTCTGCCAAGTGCACTGATTTTCCATTCATTATTCGCTGTTGTTTCTGTAATTTTCCTACGCATGAAACTTTGTCCTGTCCCTCACCCTATTGAGTATATCGCTGCGTTGGATTGTTGCTGCTTGCCCCATATTTTCTTCTGTGTTAGTCGAAAACTCAACACCCAGCAAAAGAAATCGGGGCAGCAACTTCGACGTTAAAGTTTGTGGCAATGAATTAAGCTATTGAATTGCTTGCACTTCGGGTTACTCGCCCATTATTGAGACTCATTTTAATTCAATGGTGGATGCATCGAAATGCAAAACACCTTTTAGAGGAATGTATGTATTATATATATATTTTTTCTTTGGTAAATAGGAATGTATTATGTCTATTATTCATGGTAAAAAATTTTAAGGAATAGTCACTATGGAACCCAAAGAATTCGTTTTCAAAATTTGTGGTTATGAATTATGATTGCAATCCTAGGCATTCACCCGAAACAAACTCATTAAAATTTGATTAAGAAAAAAAGAAGACCCACAAAAGTTTGAGAAATCTTTATGCAAGAATATTACTGATCCTGACTTCTTAAATGATCAATGTAACTTCTAACCTCCTTCTTAATGATGCGCCGCATGACGCTCAAAAAACAGGTCTCCTCCATTATCTCCACGGCCCGGCATTTCTCCTCCTCCTCCTCCCTCTTCCCCTCTGCCATCTTCTCCACCTTTTCCTCTACAATCCCTGAGACAGTACTCTCCCCTGGCGGAGACAGCGTTAGGGAAGTCTCCAACCCCAGAAATTTGGAATCATCTGTGTAACTATCACGCTCCTGCCCCAAACCCAAGCACTGCCTCTTCACCCCCGAGTCAGACTCCGAGTCATCATCCACACTCACCCGCTTCATCCCAGACTCCGATTCAGACAACACGGCTGAGAACTCCGCCACACGTTTCCGGCGCAGGGTGGAATTCCAATGGTTCTTGATGGCGTTATCCGTACGTCCAGGCAGTAACCGCGCAATGGTGGCCCATTTGTTCCCATGAACCGCATGCGCCTGAATTATGATGTTATCCTCATTGGGCGCAAATGGACGGTGCTGCACGGCGGGGCTGAGTTGGTTACACCACCGCAGCCTACAAGACTTCCCCGATCTCCCCGGAATCCCAGCGCTTATCATGGACCAATTCCTGGGGCCATGCTGCTCCACCAACTTGATGAGGTTAGCATCCTCCTGCGGACTCCACGAACCCTTAACACGATCGCCCCCGTCGATCATCTTCACCAGGAAGAGGGATACGTCTCTAAATTCTGTGAAATTTAAGGATTATGTAGAGAAATATAGGGTTTTGAGGAGGTGGGAAGGGGTTGTTGGTGTGAACCGTAAAACCGCTAGTTGAAATAACGACTTTGCCAAAGTAAGTTATATCAGGCAGCACGTAACGCTTCGCTCCTCTTTATTATACTATCTCTACATTTTTTAACCTATTTTCTTTTTATAAATATGTTTATATATACATGAGAAGATATTTATTAT